TAATTTTAAATTTCGTCTTAAAAGAATATGAATTAGGAAGGACATAGAGATACAAATTAATAATAATTATGAAGATTAAATTATCATATTCAAATATATGTGTATATATATAGTATACCTTGTATGTTGTAGGTATGTCAGATTAAAAGTAATTTGAAGTTGAATATCATAATGCACTCTATTTAAACATTCTTCATTATTTTTATGTGTATTTGAAATTTGATTCCGAATGAGGTGGAGCATTGTTTGGTTGTGAATTTAATTATAATTGAGGAATTAAAATGTAAATTTTGTGTGATTGAATCAAAAGCTAAATTAGTCATGTGATAAAATTGGATAATATATGATGACAATGATGATGCTAAAATTTTTAAGATGATGATGCTAAAACTTTTAAGATTATGCATGCCGTAAAATATGAACATTCGTTGAATAGATATAAAATTATAGTTTGTGTGAAGTCTATGTGATTTAAAAATGTGATTTTATATAATAGATTATATATTAATTTCTCATAAATTAACATATGAAATTTTGGTTAGTATACAAATATATGATATTATAAGAAACTAATATTTTTTGAGGTTGTAGAGCTTATCTTTAATATATCATGTGTTATAATGAAAAATAAATAACATCTAACAAATATGTACATAATTACTTCAAAACTAAGCAATAATTTGTGCCATAGTCAATTAATGTATAGAATCATTGGAATTCAATAAAATAAATAGTGCCAATTGTATGTATTGTGGAATATTTAATGATGTATTTGTAATGCTTGGGATCTGTATAGTTGCCATGACATGATTATTTTGTGTTATAATTATTGAAAATATGATTAAATATTTCATAGCTTTTATATATATATATATACACATGCTGTTAGCTATGCTATAATATTTTAAACATATAATTGAGTAGAATATGTATCTATTCATGTAGAGTTAAATAAAATTAGTGTTGTGATCATCGAGTGTTTGTATGTGATGAAATTAAAGTTGATAAGGATCATGTGTGACTTGGATTGCATGTATAATTTTGACTAAATGATGCTATGTATATTTTGTGTAAAAAATATGTTGGTGTATGTATTATGTGTCAATAAAATATATTCTTTTATATATTTTTTTTTGAATTTTCTTTATATATATATATATTTTTTTGAGTAAGTGATAATTGAAAATTATGAATTTATAACTATATTTTGTTATGGATTGAGATAGATACATGAATGTTGTGTGCTTTAATAAGATGAGTTTATTGTTTATAATTTTTTTGGAGTTATTGATAATTGATGATTATGAATTGTCATTGTAAATTGTTAACTATACTTTGTTTATATGTTATAGAGTCATTAATAATCGATGATTATGAATTATCATTGTAAATTGTTAACTATAGGGAAAACAAAAAATCTCAATACAATAATTAAAAAAAATTATCAATTTTGATCCAATGTAAAAATCTCATCAATTTTAGTTTTGTTATAAATAATTTTAATCAATTTTAGTTCAACTATTGAAAATTCAAAGAAAAATATTGACGTAGATGTAACGAAATTAGACATAGAAACTAACATGAACAAAAAATACTCATGTTTGCCAAAAAATGACCGTATTTGAGTAGTCATCACATTTGATGAACCCACATGGCCGTGTTCAAAATTTATACGGCCGTGAAGAGCAAAACGGCCATATAGCTACCTGAATTTTTGCATATGGTCATGTTCGTATTTAAACACAATGTGTTTTTATCGAAACCGTAGTTAGACCTAAAAGGTGCTTTACTATAATCCTAAAACTGGCGGCAGAAAGGTGTGTTTCAAAAGAGAATAGTACAAACACGAAAAATTTCCAAAATTATGGTACACCAGAACAATCCTCATCGCATACGGCTACTTTACCACGCTAATCAAAATCAAATACTCCTATAACTGTCGACCACACCCATCCACCGAAACCTGCCGCTCATCGACCATAGTGCGACCACTTCAACCCCTGACAAATTGACCGGAACCTCACCATCATAAATAATGTACGTTTTCATACTGCAAGCGCCTTGAAAGCATACTCCTACAACATTGAACCAAATTCCCTGGCCGAAAAATCTCCATGGCTCGAACTCAAACCCGTAATGGAAACCACAAAATTCTGAATACACAAGCAAAAAGCATTTGGAGAAAATGAAAAACTTCAATTAAAAATCTTAATCAAAATTAGATCCACTTTCGCTGCCATAGGCAAACAGATAGATCGCGATAAGTCAAATTCAAGCTAATCAGCCCCCAACAATCAATCAATATGTTAAGATATATTTAGAAAATATATGTTGAAATATAAAGTTAAAGTTCTCTATTTCAATAATAAAAAATCATACATATTTATAATGATATATAAATCGTCTAAATAAATTAAGAATCCTACAAATATTTTAAATAAGACAAATACTATAAATATAATATAAATATATATATTCAAATATATATCTTAATACCTCTCTTCAAACTCAAAAGAGAATCAAACCAACTTAAGTTTTCCAAAAGAGATTGAAGAAATTTAACCAAGATCATTTACTGAATCAAAATTTGAAACATGGCACTCAACGTCATTAGAATCGAAAGGAGGAATCTCAACGTCAGTAGAGTCGGAATCGGAGATCTACTTTTTTCCGTTACTAATGACATTAGAGACGTAAATAAGAATGAAATTACGTTAGCTACGTGAACTTTACAGACAGAATTCCGTTACAAATATATTATTTTTTTTGTAGTGGTGTTCGTAAAGTTTGTGTGAAAAGTGTTTTTGGTTTATTGTGTTGATCTTTTATTGTGGCCAAATATTTACGGTAAGTCGATAATTTATAGTCAATTGAATTATTGAAGCTGTAATTATGTAGTTGTTCAATTTAAGTGACGATAATATACTTACGAATCATCTTATGTTAAAAATTTTACGATATGATTTTCATAACTCTATGTAAGTGTTAGCGAATTATAACTGAATTTTTCTAGAGTTTAATGCAATTAAAAAATTCAAGATATTCATCTAAAGTTTTTTTTTTATCTTCAATTTACACAATCTTTCCTTGGCTTCATATTTGTTTTCCTCCACCTCAATAAAAAAAATTATTTTATATTTATATCAAAATTATTAATTTTTATAATTAAAACTTAAAAAATATATCAATATATATAATACAAAATTATATAATTATAAAAAAAAATAAATACAATTATAACAAATATATAAATATATATATATATATATAAAAGATGCCTAGGGGATTTTTGGATTTTTTTTTTTTTTTTAATTTGTGCTGATGTAGCACTTATGAACTTATGTGGAGCAAAGAGAGAAGATCTTTACCAATGAGATCTAACTGTTTATGGTGGAGAAAATTTGGCCAATTTTGCAATATATGTACGTGAATAAAAATGTCTAGGTGGCATCCACGTACATATTCACTAGCTCATATATATATATATAATAATAATAAAATACTTTTTAAAAAAATTAAATTATTTCGTCTATTTTAAAGAGGCATCAAATCAAATATTATAGATTTATTTTTTATTTCAAATAAATAAATTCTACTAATTAATTTGTATGATTATCAATAAAAACATATTATTTTTTTCATAAATATTAAAAGTGTTTTGGTAAACAGTTTTTTGAAGAGCTTTTAATTTATTGAAAACTTTTAGTGGTTTGAATTAGTATTTTCAATTAGCTTATTAGGTCCGAAAAGCTAATTTGAAAACACTGTATATATCAACGTTTCAGATTATCTTTTTTCATATTTTATTATTCTTTATTTGTCTTTAAAATTAATTAATTCTTTCATATATATTCATATATTTTTCTATTACACTATTTATTAATTATTTAGATATATTTTCTTTTAATAACTTATAAATTTATATTTATAAATTTAAAATAATTATTTTTTTATATGTCAATTATTATTTTTCTTAATTTTTAGAATAAAGATAATAAAAAAATATTAATATTATTGAATCAATTATATAATATTTTTTATCACATAATATTTTTATTAAAAATGAATATATTTATTGAAAATTATAAATTTAATGTAAATATATATTAATTACAAATTAATCTAATAAAAATATATATATTAATAATTTTTGCTCTTTTATATTTATACTATTTCTAATGTGAAAAGAAAAAAATCAATGAATTGTATTGTTTCTTTACAAAATATTTTTAAAATAATAAAAATAAATATCTTACTAATTTTTTTTTCTAATTTTTGAAATTAATAATAAAATTATAAAAAAAGTGTAATAATAAAATTATAAAAAAATCTACGACCGAAAAAATTCAACTAAATAAGATTTGATTGTAAAACTAGTAAAACTTTATTTGAAAAAAAATAAAATATTAAGTAATTGCGTTCAGTTCTGCATTTGCAACGTCATGTCTGAGAAAATACATTATTTAGGGCACACAAAAGGATAAATGGTGAAGATAAAATTTTGTATTCTATAAAATGATACCAATAATAGATACTCTCTTCCTCCCAATGCAAAGTTTTCGTTTACTTTTTGTAGGTAAATTTTTTAATATTAATATTATAATGGGTTGTAGTGAAAATGACGAAAATGCTCCTATTAGTATTGTGTAATATAAAAGTAATGACATTTGTGTAATACAGTGTAAATCGGAATGATATTTATTATTTTAGGTAGGTATTACAATCAGTAAATTAGAAAATAGTAACCTTGTTTTGTGACTAATGAAAATAAAAAATGGCAATCTTTCAATTGAACGATGGAGTATATTTTATTAATTTAAATTTAATATATAAATACAAGTATTATTTGATTTTATTAAACAAATTAATATTGAAAAAATTTAATTTATTGAATAAAAGATAATTAAAAATTTTAAAGCAATTAAATAATATAAAATTATATTAAACAAATAAAATAGCAACTACAGCGTAGAGATGTTGGATCGCACCACAGTACCATTCCCTTACGCCACTCCACAATTATTTTTCTTTTAAGTTTAAGCACAGACACTACCCCGCTTCTCGTTCTTCTCTTCTTCCCACAATCAAACCCTACTCCACTCTGAACCAAAGATTTCGATTTCCATGTCTGTCCCTGTTGGCGGAGGAGGAGGAGGAAGGGTCAGTATTTTTAATTTTTCTGCTGCTGGTTGTTGTCTGTTAATTTAGATCTATAATTCCCTCTTCTCTCGGTATACTTTGTCTGCAATTGAGAATTTAAAGATCAGTTAGCCGATTGCTTTGAAAATTCGAATAAGGTTGAGAATTTGGGGATTATTTGTTTTCTTTAAACACGAATGCTCGTTGCCTTGTCGTTTTGGGGGAAAATGCCGGTGATAGAACATGATTCAATTTTGTTTGTTTTAGATAATTTTTATTTTCGATTTTAGATAATTCGAGAGATATTCAAGCAAAAAGTGTGTTTTGCATTGGATATCCTTTTAATAGGAACTTGCGTGTAATAATAAAACACAAACTAACATGCTTTTTCTCCATTTTCAATTCCTTTAGGGTTGTTTGTTTGTTGGATTCTGAACAGGGGTTGTAAGAAAATATTTAAACAGTTTGAAGGATGGGATGATGCCTCTTGAGACTCTTTTGAAGGATTAATAAAGCAATAATTTAGCTTGCATATAATGGGTAGGACTTCATTTGGAAAATATATGATTAGGTTGAATGAATAATATAATCTATTCGCAAAAATGGCATTGAAAGAACAAGTTGTTCCCTTGTTCTAGCACCAGACATGAGTTTTGACAATAAAGTAGTTGTCTTTGCGACAGCTTTTGCCGAGTTTGGCACGAGATTTCGATTTTAATCAATTGATATGCAATGACAAGTTCATTTTTATTGGTTATTCCCTGATATGAGATATCTTTCAGTCCATCTTTTATTAACTCAAAGGCTATCTGTAAGGACTACCAAATGTTGGTGTTAATTTTGATGAATTATAAATTGTGGGCTAAAATTATATTTGGGAAGCTGAAACAAACATTTCTTGCAATACGAGTAAGTGTTCAATTTGCATAAATTGGGGTGATAGGAAGTTTTTTGTTTTTGTTTTTTTTTAAACGCGATATTCAGTTTTGGGTGATAATTTCATCTGATTTTGAATGATTGTTGTGCAACAATGAATTTTCTGTCCGGGACTGATTTGATGTTATTTGTTCAAATATAATTTGGATATGAGAATAGTAGGAAAATATAAATTCTTCATTACCGTTGTCATTTTTGCAACAATGAAGGGAAGAATCGACCTAATAAATTTTGTAGGCACAATTGCTTCTAAACCACCAGTAGTTTGGAAAGTCGGCACCATACTCCCCCGTGATTTAAAATTTGGATAACACTTTATTGCATAGAATCCTCTAAATATTGCATAAATTCTCTTGTATTTTTTAAAATATTGTATAGAATTATTAAAAAAAAAAAAAAAAGGTAAATTGTGCAATTTCCGAAAACACAACGGATATGGTGAAGACTTTCCAAATCACAAGTAGGTCATAAGTAATTTTGTCAATTTTGTATTACGACAAGAAATCCTTACATGTATGAATGTATGTGTATGTAAAGTGATGAAGCTTGAATGATTATTGTTGTTAAGGTAGCGCCGAGGGTATCGACAAGTTTATCATGTCTTGTTGATTAAGTTTGCATTTCAGCCGAATGCATCGTCCGGGATGGGCGTCTCCGATCACAGCAAAACCATGTATGTGGAATTGCAGCGCCGGAAAGTGCACCGCTATGTGATATTCAAGATTGACGAGAAGAAAAGGGAAGTCGTGGTTGACAAGACGGGCAGCCCGGCCGAGAGTTACGAAGACTTTGTTGCATCTTTACCTGAGAGCGACTGCCGTTACGCTGTCTTCGACTTTGATTTTGTGACTTCAGAAAACTGCCAAAAGAGCAAGATCTTCTTCATCACATGGTTTGATTGCCATAGTTCGAAGGATTCTATTTATTATTTCTTGTTTCTCCGATGTTGTCTTAAAAATAAGCGTTAATCTCTTTTAGGTCGCCTTCGGTCTCCCCAATTCGAGCAAAGATGCTTTACGCAACATCTAAGGAGCGGTTTAGGCGCGAGCTACAGGGCATACACTACGAGATCCAGGCTACCGATTCTACTGAAATGGACCCCGACATAATCAGAGGACACGCTAATTGAAGACTAATGGATTCTTACAAGTACTATGTTTGAACCTCTCTTGATATCGATGTCCCGTTTAGATGAGCTGAGCTTGCGGTTACTCGGTCTTGTGATGCTTGGCAATGTAAAAAATTTCGATAATTGCTTGTAATTTTTATATACGTATAATAATCTGGCTGCTCCTCGTCTTGAGAGTCAAATGCTGGACTCTCTAACAGAGAGTATAAATGAGTGAATGTTTTAGCCATTCTTGCAAGATGGATGTAATGAAGGTATTTGAACATGACACAAAATTTGATGACATGGGACAATTAGGACCATGCCAATTAAATATATATACGACATATAATGGTTGAAACCCAATGTGCTCAAATTAATAGTAATATGTGCGGTATAAATTAGTCATGTGACATGTTATATAAAACATGTATTGATTGAGTCAATTATTTTTAAAAATACAAAGGAAATAAATAATTTCTAAAAAATTTGATACAATATTTTTTAAAATATAAAATACTACAGTGAGTTGTAGACAAATTTACTGTATATAAAATGTGTGCCTATTTAGTAATTAAAAAATAATATTATTTTATTAGTTAGTGAAAATTTTGATATTTTTGTCTTTTAACTTTATGGATAAAGTAATTGCACGTAGTATATTTGTAATTTAGATAAAAAATTAAGTATATTTTAATATTAACTTATGATTACTTTTATTAAAATAAAATAAAAAAATAATATTTTGAAGTGAGACAAACAACAAAAAAATAATATTTTGAGTTGAGACTGAGGAAATATATGCTATTAGGTTGTATATGTAATGTAGTTGCTTGTAAGTCATACATGGTTTGCCTAGTGTAACTTACCTTATCGAGTCTATTTTGCATGGTATTAGGTTGGATCGGCAATTTACTCATAACAAATTCCTATACTATAAAACTAAAATTAAAAAAATACGTTCCTCGTAATATTATTATACACCCAACAATCGCACAAAACTTGCACATACAAAAGGAGTTTATTACACCTTCGACACAAATAGTACAGTCCATTACATGCATCAAATACTACTACTACTCCCAAACCTCATCAAACTGGAACCGTCCTAACCTCTTGGCCTCTCATTTCCACGCTGGCATTCTCACCCCCCTCGTTCTCCTTCGACATCTCCTCCAAAGACCGCCCTTTCGACTCCGGCACCAGCAGCGTGAACAGCATCCCCAGCGCGTTCACACACCCCAGCACAATCAGCGAATACTTCACCCCTATCCCCGCCGGATACCCCGCGTCCCTCTTCGCCGGATCCTTGGGCTGCGCTGCGTACAAGAACCCAAACGCCCCCACGATCGCCCCCGCCTTTCCGGCAGCCGCCGATATGCCGTGACAGGTCGACCGCAGCCTCGCCGGAAAGATCTCCGCCGGCACCACGAACGTCGTCGCGTTAGGACCGAAATTCGCGAAGAAGAACGTCAAGGAGTACATGATCACGAACCCGATCCGATTGTCCTTATGAGTCCAGTGATTGTAAGGAATGGCGAGCGCGAACATGAACACGGTCATGAAGAAGAATCCCATCAATTGGATCACGAAACGACCGATTCTGTCGATGAACGCCACCGTGAACCAGTAGCCCGGCACCGTGCTGCAGAGGGCGATCAACGTCTGCGCCCGCGCGATTCGGTATACCTCTTCCAATGCATTCATTGTCTTTGCCGATGGAATCCATCCGATCGCGCTGAATATGTCCTTCTGGAATAGATTCTGGCTGTAGAACGCGATGTCGAGGAGGAACCACGTCGACGTCGTGCCGAGCAAATGCAGGCCGTGGCGCCGGAGAAATTCGCGTGAAAATAATCCGAAATTTTGCCCCGTCTCCGCCGAAAGCCGGTCGATTTTCTCCGGCTCCGCCTCGACCTCGACTTGCAGCACTTTCGACATATCGGTGGCGGCCTGTTTCGCGTTTTTCGCCACCAGGGCGGTGTACCTGGCGGTTTCCGGCATCTTCATCCGCCAGTAGTACGTAAGGGCGGCCGGGAGTGCGCCGAACATTAGAATCAGGCGCCAGACGTAGTCGGCCTGCGGCACGGTGGAGGCGGCGGCGGCGACCTGATACGCCGGCGCCGGAAAGGCGGATTTGAACGCGGCGGAGATGATGATCGCCACCATCCCGCCGGCCAAGATTCCGAACCCCTGCATCGCGAACACGGCGGCGATGAACGCGCCGCGGGTTTTCTTGTTGGCGTATTCCGACATGATGGTGGCGGAGAGAGGGTAGTCGCCGCCGATGCCGAAGCCGAGCCAGAAGCGGAAGAAGCAGAGCGTGGCCATGACGGATTTTGGGCGGTCGCCGAAGGAGAGGCCGGAGGCGACGGAGCAGATGACCATGAGCATTAGGGTCATGCCGTAGACTTTTTTCCGGCCGAGTTTGTCGCCGAGCCAGCCGAAGAAGAGCTGGCCGGCGAGGGTCCCGCAGAAGGCGACACCGTTGACGGCGGCGGAGACGTTGGGCGGGAGGGTGCCGGGCTTGGCGGCGCCGGGTTGGTGGTAGTAAATCCGACCGAGGAGCTTGGTGACGAGGGAGATGCAGAAGAGGTCGTAGGCATCGGTGAAGAAGCCCATTCCGGCGATGACGATGGCGGTGAAATGGTAGAGTTGGGTCTTGGCGACATCTAGTGCGTTCAGCACTTGCAGCTGCTGTCCCGCCATGGACGGACCGTACTGTGCTTCAGCTTGAGCTTAAGCTTGCTCTCTCTATCTCACAGTTTCTGCAATTTCGTGACTTGTGATTACGATCCTGATGAGTAATTTAATTGAACGTCAAATCAAACTGAAAAGCTCACGTTTGAATCTTGGGGCAAAAAACACTCAAAACTACTTTTTGAATTTTCTAATTTTATTATTCATTTTATATGTACAATTTTTTTTTATATTTTTTATTTGTATCGTATCAAATAATTATTTAAATTTAAAATTTTATTAATTTTTTCTATTTGCATTTTTATACTTTCTCTCATCCGTTATGTAAATACATGTTCGTTTGACTAACACAAATTTTAATAAAAATAAGTAATAATTGTTACCTTTTTTATAGTAAAAAAAGTAAAATATAATGATTTTTTACTTATAAAAAAATAAGAATATTTTTTTATTACATTACAAAAAAAAATAACATAAATTTAAAATAATGACGGAGTGAGTATTACTTTTTTTTTTACTGTGTTTGTATGGGGTTTGGATTTTGGGTGAAATTTGAATAATAAAAATTTTAATTTAAAATAATTATATGATGTGATATAAATAAATGGTGATATGATATTTTAAATATAAAACTAATTTTTAATGAAATATAAAAATAAAAATTTTGATTTATTATTTTTTTTAAAGAAATTTTTTTGATGAATAATTAAAATTATGACAAATCCTCCGTACAAACACACCTTTAATAAATTGCAAATAAAATAGGTATAAAATTAAGAGAGGGGGAGAGTATTAAAAAATTCAAACACAAGATTCAAATAAAAAAAATAAAAAAATAAATAACACACACACAAGTAGTTTTGAAATATATATACAGTAGAGAGATGAGGAAATAAATGGTGTGGATTAGATTGCATGGATGTCGGAAGAATCTTTCGTAGAGGACAAAGCTAGAGTATGAAAGCAATGAATACTAGGAGTAAGACCACAGACCTCAAAAGTCAACAAAAAGACAACTAATACTATTCAATTCTTATTATTATTATACAATTATTTATATAATTAATGACTAAGACAGCTAACCAAAACCAAACCCGCCGTAACAGCTGTTCATTACAACGCCAACATATAGGTCCTCTAGTATTTATTTTTAACGTTTCCTTCCACATGGGGCAATTCATTTTTAATTTTTCAAAACCAAAAAAATATCCCCTCCTCGCCGTGCCGTCTGGGGGTTTGGATTTTGAGTTGAGATTTAAATAGTAAAAATTTTAAATTTCAATAGTTTTATGATGTGATATAAATAGGTATTGATGTGATATTGAATGTAAAATTAATTTTTAGTATAATATAAAAAATAAAAAATAGGTTTTTAATTTGATATTTTTTAGGAAAAAAAAATGAAATAAATAGTGTAAATCCAATCTAATTCCAAAACAAACATACTCTAATTAGTCAAAAGTAGGTAACAACACTAGTTAAATATAATTAATTCACAAAAAACATATATCAGATATTCAATTTTTATTATTTTAAAATAGCTTAAATAAATAGAGTAAAAAATAAATAAATAAATACTATTTTCTTTTTACCAAAAAAATAAAAAATTTTATTTTTATCTATTCTTCTTAAAATTCGTATCCGGTCAAACAAGAACACGGTTGGACGACGGAGGAAGTATTATTATATATATTCGTAGACACGACGCGACGCAGTTACGCTACCCATCCAGACCGTTGATTCAATCAGCGGAGCCAACATGATGAACGGTCTGGATTAGCCTCAAGAATTCCTCGCTAACTGCAGAAAGAACTGAAGCTTTTTTCGTTTTTATTTTTTCACAACAAAAATCTCCTTTCTGCTTCGATAGAAGGAAAATCTAAAATTAAAAAGAAAAAAATAAAAAATAAAATCTAGTATTGTGTTACCTGAGGCAGTGAGAATGGCAGTCCAGCTCCAAAAGACAAGAAATTAAGTAAGTAATTAAGAGAATGTATTGTGTGTCATATGTATGGAGCGAGTGACAGAGAGAATGGATCAATAATGGTAATGGAGGGATATGTGAGGAGAGTGAGTGTATATATAGAAATAGAAGAGCAGTCGGTCAATGAGAGTAGGGTGGAATTTTAATGTTGGTCCATATCGTCCGTTGGGATCTTGACACGTGTCCCTTGCTAGTCCGAGCTGGCATCATCTTGGCAGCTCAACTGAATGCTACATTATCCCGGTCGACTTTTGAAATTCTGCAGTCAACGGTTTCCGTTGAAGGAACGTGTGCCTTTCAAATTTCCTTCGTACCTATTACTTCTCTTTATATATGTATATTTATTTATTTATTTTTATATTTATATATAGAATTTGCAGCAGTTATCCGAAAATATGCATTAGATAAATTCTTGTAAATTAAGTCTGATAAAACAAATCATACACTAGGCTCACGATCACAAGTTTATTCCAACGCCACCCGATCTTGGACTATTTTTTTATATTTTAATGTTGATATTGACATATATTTGTTTACTTGTGTATTTTTTTTGTTTCCAAATAAAAATTACTTCCTCTATCCTTATTAATTATGTCCTAATGTTTTAATATTAAAAAAAAATAATATTTTAATATAAAAATAAAATACTTAAAAAATAAAATACATATATTATAAAAGAAAATTATTAAAAAATAATAATAAAAGTAATAGAATTATTTTTTTTGTTAAAATATAAGTAATACAATTATACGAGCATAAAATTGTTTAATATAAATGAATTATTTATGAATTCAATGAACAATAAAAAACAAATATAACATAAATATCTCGAACAAATGGAGTACTACTTTTGAATACTATCTTCGTCTCATAAAACTAACATCATTTGCTTTTTTGCACGTAAATTTTTTAATGTTAGTATTATGTTTTATTTGTTTATAGTAAAAAAGAGAAAATGTCCTTAGGGTGTGTTTGTTTGGAGGGTTGGATTTTGAGTTGGGATTTGAATAGTAAAAGTTTTGAATTTGAATAGTTGTATGATGTGATATAAATAGGTGTTGATGCGATGTATTGAATGTAAAATTGATTTTTAGTATAATATAAAAAATAAAAAATAGGTGTTTAATTTGATGTTTTTGGGAAAAAAAATGGGATGAACAGTGGAAATCTAATCCAATCCCCCAAACAAACACACTCTTAGATTGTGTGATATAAAACTAATGATATTTGTGTAATATATTAAAAATTGTAATAATATTAATTATATTAGGTATTTAATACAAATATTAAATATGGTACCACAGACAAAAATAAAAAATTGTATCCTTTTATGAGAAGGGGTGAATATATTTTTATTAAAAAAGTATATTAACTCTTGTCTACTTGCAAAATATACATATTTGTATTTTGGATTGTCTAATTATAAACTAACCATTTTAAAATACTCATTTTTTGACAATACTTTTATTTTACTATCACATCATTATTTTACACAAAAAATTAAAGACAAAATTCTCTTTACACTATTTTTAATTATTCAATATAATTAAAATACTATTATTTTTTATTTTTTTTTAATTTTGAGGCAAAAGTAAACAAATATTTTTTAGTTGGACATAGAAAGTTGTATTATTGTATGTTATAAAATATTATATCAATATTATTTAAATAAAAAGTATATCTCAAATCAAAATCAATTGCTTCAATTAAATAGAGAATTTTGAAATTTTTAAAAAGTTTTAACTTTTTTACAATAATAAAATTTTTGATATTATGTGTAATATTTTATAAACAATAATTATTTAACATAATATTTTTTAAAAAAATTTAATAGATAATTAATGTCAGAATATTAAAATTCTTTAGGTTGTTTTTATTTTTTTAATATCTGGATTATGATATTTTAAGTAAAATAATTGTTATTTGTAATAGTTTATAGGAAAAATACTTTATGGATATGATATTTTCAAAAAAAATAAAATTCTCATTTCAAAATACTTTTTTTTTTTGTCTAAATAGTATTTTTAATATAACGTTTTTTTTAAGATAATACAGTGTATTCGCAGATTTTAGTTTAAAAAAAAAAACTAACAATATTAGTTGTTTTTTAGTAAAATATTTATTGTTTTTTATAACTTACATTAATAATAATTGATAAATGTAATATTCCAAGAGGAAATTTAAGAAATTGTATTGCTTGCTTGTGAGTTGTGATTATTATTATTATTATTATTATTATTATTATTATTATCATTATTATCATTATTATTATTTTGATAGAATTACCCCTAACTCAAATTGTTAGACTTCAATTCAAGAATATTAAAGATAATATCAAAAAAGATTGAAATCAAGTTGAGTAATCTAACAGGAGAAAGTTAGGATGATTAAAAGAAGATGAATGCCAACGGAAAATATGAAGGCCCAAGATCCTATCAAGAAGTGATGAAATGAGACAATATGTGATGTTATGAGACGTTTCAATTCGTGTTTTTAGGTTGTGTTTGTATTAGGTTTAGTGATAGATATAAAAAAAAATTAACACATTTGTTAATCCGAATACAATTCGAATTCGATTTTCAATATGAAATTCTAAATTTGAATACAACACAAAATTTTTAGATCGGATTCAGATCAATCTGATTTTGTTTCAAATCACCGGACAACCCAAATAAATCCAAAAAACTTGACACAAACTATACCAAAAAATGTGAAAATTTTCGATTATTTATATTCAAATCCAAGATTTAATTTCCTGTGCAGGTACAATTTTGACAGCCCTAATGATATGGAGGGTACTCAACGTTAAATTATGGGGTAGTAAGAGATAATTGCACTATTTATTGATTTACACAACAATATTTTACTATTTTCAAAATGTTAAAATTTCAAAATTTTCAAAATTTTTTTATTGTCGAAAATGAAATTTAACGATAATACATTGACACGACTAGAAGAGCACCGAGTATCTGGCATATTTTACATATTTGCGAAACCAAATTCTGGATAACACAATGCCTTCGAATAACTCCCATGTCACTGAAGAAAAAAAAAGGTGAATCAAATGAGATGATTACGCGTGAAATTAAACTCGAAAGCTTTCTCAAGTTGACATAATAAATCAATTTGATAATCTTCTAACTATCCCCAAAAAAAAAAAAAAAAGGTCAAATGAAATTTGGCGATAATTCAATTGCACGACTAGTAGAACACTGAGTATTTGATATATTTCACATATTTGCTAAATCAAATTCTAGATAGCATGATTCCGCCGAATAAGTCCTATACCACCGAAGAAAAAAAACAAAAAGAGGAATCCAATGAGCCGATTACGCATAAATACTTGTTACGCACCGACTCATCAGGCCTGGTGGAGAATGGGAAAGAATATATTATCACTATGATCGCTAGTGTCCACCGAAATCAAACCTAAGTCGAGATTCAAGCTTCCATGCATGACTTGGCCTTGCAATTGTCCCAATACTTAGTTGATGTTGTTTGGTTGATTATTGAAAATGAGATTATCGAGTTTCACGATAAGAAGCCCAAATAGAGAGCCCATTACAAAGAATTCCAACCAATACTGTTTCCTTAATCTAGCCATCCAAAGGCATAGCCCTCATTGTTTTTATCCCACCTTACTATAATATGTGAATATAAAATTCCTACAAAAGAATGAAGCAATTGGAAGCCCACAAAAAGTCTTTCGCCAATTATAAAACAACCACAAATCAACCGACATGACTTCAAGTAGCCCTCCAAGCTCGGATGGAAGGTAGGAGTCATACGCCATTATTCCAAAATTTGGCCTTCCCCGATGATCGACAATGTATACCACCTTATAACACATAAATTCGGCTTTTCTAAAATTGTAACTATAAATCAAGAGTGTTGATGGCAGAATATCTCAATTTTTTTTTATTCCTCATCAGATATCCTAGAGCTTCTTTCTGACAAGGGAGCAAATTATCGCTACAAAATGATTTGTTCTAACAACAACGCCTCAATATCTACCATCAAATACACTTGACCATGTAATCTTTTACATCCTCTTCCGACCATCAGTCGCTTATCCTTGGAATATAAATTGACTGATAATATTTGCATAATAATTAATTCCATAAGGTGCTTGTTTGCGTTTTACACAAAGGGGAGTAGCTCCCCAGTTACTTTAGTTGTTGACCATCAACCTTCCACAACTTCTTGGCATGACAAAGGACCAGCTTGAGGGTAGCAAAAAAAATTTACTTTTTTGACATTCTCAAATTGATCCAAAGCTTTAGTTGAGATAGTTTGATGTATGTAATGTGATCCTAGTAAGGTTCTTGTTAAGTTGCGTTATTAACACCTCTTTCCTAATTGTATGCTAATGGATTATCTTCTTCCTTGAGAATGCCAATTTTTTTAAATATATTTTATTCGTAAGAGAAGATTTTTAGTAAGCTATTGAACACATCATCTAATTTATAGGGCAATGTGAAAGAGAATTATAAATAATGACTAGCATAATTGCATCTATTCTAATTGTCACTCATAGAGCTAGCGTTCTACTGGTTTGCATTACTTCAATATAAATTTTTTTTCAACGCATAGGTAGAATTTGAATAGGCCTTCCACGAATTTTTATACAATCACTTTTTGGAAGTCATTATTTTAAATCTTACCAATCTAAGCTAGAAGGTTGATGAGTTTCTCGAGAAACTTTTTGAATGGTCAAAAAGGACAAAATTCCAATTTTAGGTGCGAATTTTGGAGAATCATATCGTAAATATGGTTATAAACAACAAGTACATTTACTTACAGAAGAAGCTCATTCTTCAGAAGTATACCGACTTAGACATCTAATATCTAAGAAAATCAAGAATAAACTTATTATTTGGGAAGCTCAAATAGCTAGACGGGCAAGGCTTCCACACAACTTCTCATTCTGTCAAATCTAAGATCATGAAACATAAATATAATATTAACAAGAAGACCGTCTTAGGCTAGCTATGTGGTAGCCTTAGGAACTTTTAATAAAAAATCTTTTTAACACCGGAAAACATTGCATAGTAAATAGTGTCGAAGTCAAATCCACATGG